ATGGTTTCGCCATGCGTGAAGCAGCTTTCCCCACCCTGTTCCATCAGTCCCCTACATCGCAAAGCCATAAAAAAAACAAAACGGGAGAAGGTGGAAAAAAAAAACAAAGACATTGAGGGGAAGATAAGATGGAGATCTTCTCCCCCCCACCCAGCATCATAGTTTCGGCATGCGTGAAACAGCTTTCCCCACCCTGTTCCATCAGTCCCCTACATCGCAAAGCCATCAAAAAAGCAAAGAGATTGGGGGGGAGATAAGATGGAGATCTTCTCCCCCCCCACCCAGCCTCATGGTTTCGCCATGCGTGAACCTCCATTCCCCACCATGTTCGATCAGTCCCCTACATCGCAAAGCCAAATAAAAAAAAAAGGAAAAAGGCGGGAAAAAAAAAAAGAAACAGATTCGAGAGCTTTCCCCACCCTGTTCGATCAGTCCCCTGCATCACAATGCCAAAAATAAAACGGACAAATGTGAAAAAAAAAGCAAAGAGATTGGGGGGGGATATGAGATGGAGATCTTTTCCCCCCCGCCCCACCTCATGGTTTCGCCATGGGTAAAACAGCTTTCCCCACCCTGTTCGATCAGTCCCCTACATCGCAAAGGCAAATAAAAAAAAAAACGGAAAAAAAAAAGCAAAGAGATTGGGGGGGGAGATAAGATGGAGATCTTCTCCCCCCCCCCCCACCTCATGGTTTCGCCATGCGTGAAGCAGCTTTCCCCACCCTGTTCGATCAGTCCCCTACATTGCAAAGGCAAAAAAAAAAAAACGGAAAAAAGAAAACAAAGACATTGGGGGGGGAGATAAGATGGAGATCTTCTCCCCCCCACCCCACATCATGGTTTTGCCATGCGCGAAGCAGCTTTCCCCACCCTGTTTGATCAGTCCCCTACATCGCAATGCCAAATAAAAAAAAACGGACAAACGTGAAAAAAAAAGCAAAGAGATTGGGGGGGGAGATGAGATGGAGATCTTCTCCCCCCCCACCCCACCTCATGGTTTCGC